GAAAAGAAGTATATAGCTGTATTTCTTGTCATCATAACAACGGATTCTTACATTAGCTTTTCTATGCAACCATAATAGGTTTTGTATTATATTTGGGTTGGTCTCTACACACAGTCCGTCTCTTCATAGCCTTTTGCTTAAACCCCTCATTAAGTTTCTCCTGCACTGTCTAGCCCAAAGCATTTTAGGTTCACTACTGGAGTTGGCGGTCTTCTTTTTAGGTGTCCTCTCTCAAAGGTACCACACTAAGTGTCTAAATATTCCTATGCTTAATTATAGCACCACAAAACAAATCAGCCTCATAAATTTCACTCATTGAAATTGCCTAAATTGATTCTTGTTTTCATTAATTATTTTTTTCAATGCTCAAAGGTTTATTATAACGTTTTAAACTACCATCTATTTATATCGGCGTTTAGGATATCCACTCAGCTTAGGTGGATATAGATTAACCATTCATCTGCTTACGTTTAACCAATAGGCGTCACATTTTCATATCTTATTTCACTGCTACTACTCATGAATCAGCAGATTACTCTCTGAATGATTATCTCTTTTATTCTTTTTTTTTCCATGTCTACAGCACACCACTAATGATCCATCTAAGCTTACAAATTCAAAGTCTTTACACTCAGCCGACGCAGTTCTTCCCTGTCTGAATAGGTCAGATCTTCGCTCAGCTAATGTAACTTCAGAATATCTGACTCAGATATTGACTAATCTCAGCCTTGTTGGCAGAGTCAGCACTAAAGTAAAGTGTCCTTTGATTTTATCAAAGCTTGCTGAGATTCCTGAAAGTGCGTCGATCAAAGAAAAAGAAGCCTTGCTGCGCACAATCTTTTTGCCTCAGTTGATTACTTTGGTGCAGACTAGCTCCCCTTTAAAGGGTACGCTATATGAAATTTTTTTCTATTAGTTTATATTTTATAAATACATTGTGTTCATATTTGAGTCAATTTATGATCATAAGGTTACTGCTTTCGCGTAGTGGTATTAAAAATTGCACACTAAACGAATCATATGCGCGGACGTTAAATATCTATGCTAAATAATTATTCATATTGTTCCTTAGATGGACTATGAACTAGCTAAGACTACTTTTTTTTACTCCCTGTTCTGCCTTAAGAATCCATTTACACTGATAATTGATTGACTTTAATGCTTTGTCCATGGCTTGGCATTCTCAAGCAAGAATTGTCTCTCGAAAATGTGCATTTCTGGGCTTACATGTGTTTTTGGGGTGTTTCTAAATCTAAATTACTATATTACACAAAGGAAAGCCATGTTAGCTAGAATTCAGAGTGCAGACATATAAATAATTTTTAAAATTATATATGCCTATATACTAATTCACGCTTTTCTGATGTAGTAAGGAAATAGTTTTTATCTATGCTGAGAAGCATAGTCCAAAGTTGGATAAGAACTGTATTCACCCTAGATGTCATAAGGTAACGAAGGTTTGATTGTTGAATTTTCCAGCCTTGAGAGTTTCCTCACGATGTCGTTTAATAACACTTAGTCAGTCCTTTTAAGGCAGTATCGGAACTTGCTCATTATGAATATATTCAAAAGTTGCTTCTTGATGAGAAGTAAAAACAAATCATATATATCACTACAAAGTATGTCATGGATACTGGACTCAAATAGTGCACATGCTCAGAATAATTGGCAAGCCAATCCAGTAGCTAGTTCACACTCGGCCGTTCCTACGAGCTTTATGCTTGGCCAAGCTTTCTGAACGACAGGACTCATGCTTATCGCTGATTTATTGGAATCACAGTATAGTATGCTGAATGTTTCAAATCAGCAGTCACAACGCCAATGCGATCCACTGGTTTCCGGTGAAGGCAATTTAAAACATACTGAAGTAAATGAAATGTAAAATTCGTTTAAATCCAGTTTGTCTTCTCATTTTTATTTATTTATTTATTATTATTATTCGTATGATGATCTCAACTGGCACGTCTATTTTATCCTTATTACTTTAGTTAATTTTAGGCCAACTAATATTTCATATACTCTTCTCATACCCAGATGTCCTTAATTTCCAGTTTGGTCCTGACCTGCCAGCTGTGATCATCTAGACTTTTTTAATTCATCATAAATTTCTGTCTTGTCGTTATTTATTGTCTTATTAAGTAAATGCTTATCCTGAGCATTATTCAAAACTCCTAAGTTTTACTTTGCACCAAATCTGACTTTTTGGTGGCAACATATGTAGCTGCATGTCTAGTATTATTTGGTCAGCCCTAATTTCTGCGGTCTACAATATTAGCTTTTTCTGCAGTAAATAAACCCTTCTTGACTTT